ATTGTTGTAATGAAGAATGAGCCAATTTTATATTATCTCGGAGATGATGACGATGAATATCCTCCAAAGTGGGGGTTTGTACGTGAAGAGCTCATGCAAATAGATCTAGAAAAACTTCAGTATTTGCCTCAGAATATATTGGAAGAAAATACTCACTCCAGATCTGTTAATTTTGTTCGTATTATTAATAAAATAACCAAGGCTCAACAATATGCCAAGAAGCGTGACGGAAAATGTCTTGGTAAAACTGGCCAAATAAATGATTTCGGTGTATATCTCTGGTCATGTAAAAATGGGAACCATCAGTGAGAACATTCATATCCATTAATAGCTACGAAATTTGAATGGTGTCCAATTTGCTTCCATCATAGTGATGAACGGAGATGTAGATATATTTTTGAGGATCTGTTGGGTAAGAAATTTCCATCTTGTAAATCGTCATTTTTGAATGGGATACAATTAGACGGGTATAATAAAGAGCTAAAATTAGCGTTTGAATTCCAGGGCCTCAGCATTTTTCTGAGAATTCAATATTCCATAAGCAAGGCAAGATAGACTTAGATGGTCAACAGACACGCAACCAAAAAATGCGGGATGAATGTAAAAGAAAGAGTATAGATCTTATTGAAATTTTGTATACTTGCGATTTATTGCCATATATAAAAAGTGAATTACAGAAGAAAGGTTATTTACCACATAAAGAATAAATATTGCTTATCTTTTGATTAAAATGAAAGAAGAAAAAATGCCTATATTTGTATATGCTATCGATAAGATATCAAACAAATTCTCAGAACGAATAAAATCTAATAAATTTGCACCTGATTGACCATTCAGATTACTGGTATGTGGAGGATCCAATAGCGGAAAAACTAATATGGTAATTAATCTTATGTTGAGTAATAAATTACAGCAAATATTTAAAGGTAAGAAAGGCAATTGTTATATCAAAAATGATGATCTCGTATTAATAGGCAAACATTTTGAGCCAAAATGGCAACTTGTACAAAATAGTTTTCAGATTTTTTCGAATGCCCCTAAATCATATTGAAAAGATGTCACATTCAAAAGAATATTTCCAGATAAAATTCTAGATATAACTAAATTTTCTCCAGAGTGAAGTACAGTTGTCACTTTTGAGGATCTATGCGCTGAATGGAAAAAAGTGCAAGAACAAATTATTCCTTATTTCATTAGTGGTCAGCATCAAAATATCTCTCCAATATATGTATCACAGAAATATACACAAATACCTAAAATTATCCGCAAAAATCTGAGTCATCTTGCACTATTTCGAGGTACAGGAAGCTGAGATGACATTCATAGAATCGTGCGACAATATACAAATAATCCGAAAAAAGCGTCTAAGATAATTGATAAACATTTGCGGAATTGAGAATTTGTGATTTTTGATTTTACTAAGGCGGTAGACGATCCTCTAGTAGTTAGACTGGATTGGGATACCTTATTAAAATTAGATGAATAAAGCATGATATCAGATATAAAAATCACTTCGAGTTTTCTAATACTTATATAAAAATAAACATGACCCACCCTCTCATTATTCCAGAGTTGCTCAAAAATATATTCAGTTTCTTGACTAAGGATAAAGCACTCTATTCAGTATTATTTGTCAATAGACTTTGGTATCACTGTAATGCTTTGATTCTATGGAGACACATTGAGTTTTCTATAGAAGGTTATCAGCAGAACTGATGTAATAAAAATATATCTGGACCTCTTTATTGGCAATTAAGAAAGTTTAAAAGAATTATATGCAAAAAGACAAAATCTCTCTATTGCTCAAAGATGGTGTATCTTAAATTGACGGGTTTAAAAATCTCGGATGCATTACTTCATGAAATTTTGTGCTCATACCTGAATATAAACTTTCTTATTCTTGATTGAAGTTATGGTTTTAGTAATATACCAATTATAAAAATTGCAAAATATTGTCCGAAGCTACTATATCTGAGTCTTGATGCGTGTATAGCTATTACTGATAGATGCGTTAGTGAAATAACACAATTTTGTCCAAATTTAAAATACATAAGTCTCGCTTCTTTGTATAGAGATAGTAACATTTCCAGTGCATCTGTAATTGAAATAGCATAATCTTGTCCCAATATAGTATATTTAAATCTCAATGGACAACCTTCTATTAATGATGAATCAATTTGTGCAATTGCACGCTCATGTGTAAATCTTCAACACCTGGATTTGTCGTTCAATGAAATAATTATGAATGAAGCTATAAGTGCGATTGCAACTGGCTGTCCAAATATGCGAAATTATTTTCTCGAAGGCTGTGAACGAATAACTGATAAATCAATCAAAAAAACTGCACAGTTAAATTGAAATCTGCAAAAGCTTATTCTCACTTTCTGTTACAAAATTACAGATAATGCTATATGTAGTGTAGTCCATTCATGTTCAAACATTCAGAATCTTAGTTTTCAATATATTTATATCACTGATAAAATGATATATGAAATTGCACATCACTGTTCAAATTTATTAGTTCTCAATGCAAAAAAATGTCCGTTTATTTTTGATGAATTAATCTACTTCCTATTAAGCAAAAAATCAGCACTAGAGCTAATATTGGATTGGGTTCCGTGATCCATATAGGTTATGATAAAATAGCGTTTATATGATTAGTTTGATAATAGAATATTTTTTCAGTTGTAATTTTATTCTATTAATATTAATACATCCTATCTGCCACTTATATTTTTGAGCTGACCGAATTCTGTCATGTTTGAAGTTAGAGTGGATGTGTAATAATAACAAGCATGATATATTATCATTACTAGGAATTTTTGTGACACATAATACATATTGATATAGAAAAATCAAGAAGATATGTGTTATTATCTATTGTATGTAACACATTCTGCATTTACTTTTCTGAATTCAGCGTGAGCTGGTATGAAGTGCCGAGTGATAGAGTCATGAGAAGATGGAATATATTAATCAGATAAATAGGTTATGTAACTACATTATATAATTTATTAAATACCATGCTTCTATTCCTAAAAGTCACTTTTGGAATCTAGATCGCAATTGACTCTTTTTAGAATCTATCCAATTATACGGAATATAATATTCTTCATATTTTCTAACATAAATATCCAAAGGAATATTTAAATTACATTGTTTATACATTGTAATCCATTTAGTATGCCATTGATCAAATTGTTCTCGAGTCTGAGGATTTTTTATTTTATGCCAAGTTAAACCTAGAAATTTTTCATCATCAGAAGTACTATCATTTCTCATTGCATTCCAAGCTTGGGTTACTAATGATTCAGGTCTATTCTTGTAATTTCTCCAAGCTCTTTGTATAATCCTTGCTTTTCCGAAATCAGTCTTTGGTTTATTACATTCATTATCCCAATATTTCTATATCAAATCATCTGGCTTAATAATTTCGATATACCTTTTTCTAGTGAAATGGAATGATTTTTTTTGTTGTACGTTATTAATTTTTATGAGTTTCCAGCAATCGAAGCAAATAGCCATATGACTTTTATGAATATTTGGTCTGTAATAATTGAAATTGACAAATTTACCTTTACCAAATGACATAAATAAACAATATCGATGATATACACTAAATTTTCCAGTGGTTAATAAATCTTGTAATGGAATTCTTACTCGTATTGTCCATTAAACTGGTGTTTCATTCTGTTTTATGATAGATAATGTATCAAATAATCTCTCATTATCGAAAATTTGATTGAGTTTATTAGCATAAGTTCTACTATAGTGTGATATATATGACACAGCATACTTCATATCAAAACCAGGACAATTAATATATAATTTAGGAAGTGTTTTATCTTTTTTATCAATAATAGTAGTGATATCAAAACCAGACATATTTATCAATTATATCATATTTAGGATATTTAAACCTATTTGATTAATAACTATATACTCTAAAATATATGATTCAAATTTTGTGTGATTGGATTCTTGAATTATCTCTTCAAGTGTATTATAATCATCATATTTTGCGAGTGATATATACTATGAGAATGGGAGAGATGTGTAGATCTATTTTTGATGTGTCGCATAATCTATTTCGGTGAATTATAAGCATATTGATTTTCCAGCGATAAGAATGTACGACACTCACTATTTGAGATCACCCAGTTTAAGATAGACAAATCTGAGATATGCAAATCTGAGGCATACGTATTCGGTTAATTATACTACTTTTACGTGAAAAAAGTAAATGAACATCCATAGATTTATACCGTTAAAACATGGTTGAAACAATGTTGAAGTGTGGTTGGAAAAGCAATAAATTATACAATAGCGGAGCTAGTACCAAGCACATATATCTTAATATAATCATGGATATATGGTTAAAGTATGGTTAAAGTACTGTCGAAGTACTGTTAAAATACATAAGATACACTTATAAAAGCAACAAAATCCCACCTTCTTGCAGTCTATTTATTATATTCATTGTCAGGATAAATGTCATAAAAATGGTTGAATGGACCGATACTCAAATACGTATCCTCATCGATGAGCGTAGAAATAGAAATGAAGAATATCATAATTTTGGAAGGAATCAAATCGGATTTTGGAATAGCATCGCAACCCGAATTAATCAAGAACATAATACGAGCTTTAATGGACACCAATGTAAAGAAAAATTTTCGAATCTTGTTCGGGATTACAATGTAAGTATGGCATCGTAAGAAAATTTTTCCAGATTTTTTGCTTACGTCTTAGCCATTATGATCAATAATCCATGTCAAATCAGTCGATGTGCGATTATATGGCAGGTAATCGAAGAGCACGAAGAAGCCGAACGGGTGCACAATATTTCAATGAATTCCGTACACATTTTTGGGAGAGGCCTAAAGATGATTTTGATAGAATCCGTAACATTAATAGCTCTAATCGTAGACAACGTAGAATTGGGGGGAATAATACACCTACACCATCTACTGGAGAAGTTGAACATGTATTAGGTCAAAATGTCACCGAAAAATCGAAGAAGTCGAAGAACATCTGTTGAAGGTCGAAGAAGTCAAAGACAAACAACATTTCCACCTTTATCCCATGATGCAATAAACATTAATACAAACAACCCTGAGCAAAATATTAGCATTCACCCGCCTCCGATTGAAACATTATCTCCTCAACTACCACCTTATGGGACCACAGATGGAGCACAAAATAATAACAAATTTTCAGAAATGAATCAGAGACATGTCGTTTCTAGCCATGAAGTAGCTGACTCCGGCAATAATTTAACACCTAATTTGCTAAATATATCCTCATCTGAAAACGATAGTGGTATTAGTATGCACGATGAGGAGATAATCAAAAATTTCTACTATGGAACCGATTAATGAGGAAGGATAAAGATTCTCGATTGTATGTTACATCACGAAATGAGTATATATTTAATGACCAGGTCAAAAAAAAATATCAATAAAATTACATTATTTCTGGATTGATAAATTATTTTTTATTGTATTCTTTATCTAATATGCACAAATTGAACGGTCCGATTTTCTATAAGTTTCGCCGGTATTTAGATTCTAATAATAACCTTCATCATCGTCATCTGAAAAACCATAGAATCCCCCATCATCCTTATCATCATCTTCGTTGTTGTCATCAGAGAAATCTCCATCCTCACTCTGTGGGTCAGTGTCCCTATTACAAGAATTTTCATCATCAAAAGGATCCGAATTAAAATATAAAGAACTACAGGGTGCGCTTACCTGTGTCTTGACCTCACCTATCTCATCAACATCAGAGGAATTAAAGATACGAGTCGTATTATTAGGTGAGACTTCAGTATTTGAGACACTTACCGAGGTATTAGATAAAGATTTGTCATCCTCACTTATTCTATCTTCAGAATTAGATGTATGAGACAATTTAGTAGTTGATATATCATCTGTGTTAGAAGGTTCGGTCACTTGCGCGTTACAATTTGTAACGCCGATCATTTCTTGATATTTAACGGAAGAATCATCTACTTTAGAATTTTTAGGAAAACAGTTTATAATATCTTGAATCTGATTGTCAGTTAGACTTGAAATTGCGCTTGCATTACATGTTATTGCTTGGATTTTTTCCATTCCTATTCCCATAAGTAACGTATAGATCTTTTTTGCTCTGAATGTTCTTTGACGCAAATTCACACCACTGATATCTGGGAGAAGCCCTTTTATCTCATTATATACCAATGTCCTTGCTGATTGGCCATCGATTTTATTTATACATTTAATGTTCTCGACTCGATCCTCATATGCTTTATAGTAGCAATACCAGCATAAAATCTCTTTTTGTCTAACTTTCATTGCTATAATAAACAAATCGGCTATATTTTGTGCTGTAATTTTGTTAGATCCTGTTACGATTGCTTTTAGCGAGAATTCAGGGATTTGTATATCAAATACTTCACTAACTTTATTATTATTCTCTTTAATGAACACAGATAAGCCGTGCCTTAAGTCTTGCTCTACCCTTCTATTATATGGAATTTTTATTTGCTTCGCAAAGCAACTTACGTCGCCTCCAGTATTTTGTGCTTGATCAGTAGGTATTAATTCTAATCGGGTAGTTTTATGATCATGGGTAATTTCGTTAATAGGATTTATCTCAGTAGAAATTGCATTTTGTGTATCAGAAGAGGAAGATGTTTTTTGTACCAATTGTTGCCCTTGGCGAATCCTCTTTTCCCTATTTCTTTCTCTTGCCATATTAACAATCCTTTCCTTTTCCTGTAATTCCAAAAATTCATCAATTTCTTCCTTTTCCGATGACAAAATTTCTATAGGAATAAGAGATGTGAAAGATTGGCTATCTTTTTCCTGGTATATGTCAGAATCGACTGTGTTATTGGAACTATTTTCTATTCGTTCAGGAGCAACATCAGAATTCGAAGTATTATCAGATATATTAGATGCCGAAGTATCGTTAGAATTTTTCATTTCGGTAGAGGTGGTATTAACTGAAGATTGATCGATTTCCTTGGCATCATCATCTGATTTGTTCTTTTCATCAGTTTGCGATTGCTTCTGTTCTAATTTCGCAACTCTAGCTTTAAGCTCAGCATTTTCAACAGCAGTATCTTTATCGTTCTGCTCCAGTTTCGCAAATCTGGATTCATGTTCTTCCAAAGCTTGTTTTAATTTTAGGTTCTCAGCTTTAAGCTCGATTTTCTCGGCCTCAACTTCGGAAAATTTTTTTCGAAGTTCAGGAATTTCAGCATTCTCCTTTCTAAGTTCAGTAATCTCGGATGCAAGCCTAGAGTTTAATTTTCTCAAGGTCTTGATTGTTAATTGATCGTTTGACATTGTTTTATTACAAAATAGGATATATTCAAAAGGTTAACCACACGAAAAAAATATTGAGAATAATCACCTTTGTTTTATTGATTGTAATAAAATCAAAAAATAATATTTATATATTATTGCCTACACTAAGTTTTCATTTGTCTAATCTATATTAATACATTATCTCAATATTAATTATAATCTGGTTTCGTTTGTTATCGACATCTGAATAGAATAAAAATAGTTATTAGTTGTATCTGTACGAAACATGCAGAGTCAAAAATGAATTAACAATGTTAACCTTAGCAAAAATCTGCTGAAAGTTTATGTTTCCTGCCTTATGGTGGGGGCAATGTATCGTAAATTTGGAGGTAAGTAACAATTATAATAAAAAGTAGCCGTTGTAATAGTACTAATAGATGATATGGAGGAGGTACAACGTTGATAATCACTTATCGTCTAATCGATCTGTTGTACGATGGATTTTTACAAACTTAACGAGATTGAAGACTGGGCGTGTATAAAGGTTGTAAAGTATTACCGTGCGAACTCGGGACAAAAAACTTGGACAAAAGTACTTGACAAAATAAAAAAGGATCTCCAAATTGTGGCATCAGACCCAGCCTTTGACGCGAGACGCAAAAGAAAAGCTCAGGAAATTATAGACAGCTGGAAGGTATAATTATGTTGAACAATTTAGGAAAACTGACTTTTTATTATTAGTTTTGAACGATTAGGGAAAAGCTGTGACTGTTAGTCCACAGTTATGAACTGTTAGTTCTTCCAGCGCAAGCTATGACTGTTAGTCCATAGTGATGAACTGTTAGTTCGACGCTTAAGCGCAAGCTGTGACTCTAGTCTACAGTGATGAACTGTTAGTTCGACGCTTAGTTTTATGCAATGTCTCTTTATGGATGCTACTGATTCTGCATTTTCATTAAGATTTGGACCTCCCCGATGAAAAGGAATGGTTCGCAGTATAATCTTAAGTATCAGAAGGTGAGCTTCGGGTCTGAAATTTGATAGATAAAATATATATATATAAGTAATATTTTTTATTAGGTGGAGCAACAAGTGCTTGCGACTGGAAATGCTGTGTCTGTCGATAATCGTCGTATAATCGAAAAACGTCGACAAGAAGATCAAGATGATAGAGAGGAAACATTGGACGAAAGAAATAAAACTCCATTGACACAGAAGAAAAAGGTGAGATCAATCGACTTTATTAACGTATTACTTCCTTCACAATGAATAATTAAACATTGACAATTATATATGATAAAAAATTTTGCCGTTCTGTCTTATAAATCAAGTGTAAAACTGAATCCGAAAATAGAACAAAAAGTGGGAGAACTGTTGTTCCGAATTATAGTCATTTTTATGGCGAATCGATAACAGATGACGATGCTTCTGAAAATTCTTCTTCTAGTAGTTTAGATGAGCTAAACGATGAGTTGGTTACTCAAAAGAACGACCACTTTGATGAAAATCAAGATATTCAAATTGACAATGTAAGTTGTTTAATAATATTCCTTCGTCTTCGGAAATTAATTGTACTGTTAAAACATTAATTTTATAATACTCTAACCTATTAGCAAAACTCTTCAACATTAACAGCTTCAAGTACCATTGAAACAGATGTGGTTGTTTAATGTATAAATTCTTATCTATAATGTATAGTATCAGGAAATATATTGACGAATTTATTTCTTTCTGTAGGAATCAAATCAGAAATCGTTAAAAGATCTGCTTGGTGGCAATCTTTATTGCTCAGAAAATATGAAATCCATCTGCCAATACCATGATACACTATATCCTGATGAAAATTTAATAGACTTACGGCCAAATTCAAACTATTTCAAGAAACTTCCTTTCAAAATTCTGGAACCATATTTTAAAGAGCTTGACGACAAAATTGAAAATTTAATTCCACTAAATATTCACGAATTCCTGATAGAGTTTTTTCATCAAGATTTGACCAGCGAGGAATGGCACATCAAGATTGATGATCTACGCTGTTTAGATCAAAATGATTGGCTAATGGTATCTGTTATACGAATTTTGCGCAGAACACTACCTCCATTGTAAGCACCAAGTACAAATGCTTTTGCATTCACCCATAGGTGTCATATTAACAGTATGTTTACTCAAAATTTTGTAGCATCATGGCGTTTTCTATGGGAGCTCGAAATCCACTACTTAACTTAGCTACATTAGAAAAACCACATTTAAACTCTTTTGTCCACCCATGTCTACAGGCGTCTCTTTGGTATATTTCAGCAATATGCTATGAATTCGGAGAAATTGGATCAAAAAATCACGTAAAACGTGAATGCGCCGATGGCGTAGGACACCTAAATACTGCTGATAAATTTCAGCTAGTTTATATGGAAGGCTCAAGAATAAATGCTAAAAATGACAAAGAAATAACGGATGCCTCCAAAATATCTAATAACCTTCAAACCATTTTTATAAATATAATAAAAGATAACATAAAATGTAGACGCAGATTTCCCAAAACACTTGCTGTTTTCGGTGGGCAAAGTTTCCGCCTTAGAATTCACCTACAATTTTTAAACTATTGTGGTAAGTTATGTACGTTTGATTTATACTATTGTCTATATTAGAACATTCACTTTATTGACTAATGGTATTCTAATCTTAGAAGGAAAGTTCTGTCTGAATGAAGTGGATAATGCGAATCTTCCACGTGACTTCACAGAGATGGCGGACTTTGTGTTCTTTTATGAATGCGTGATAAAGTGGGCCGTAAGTATTCTTACTATTTATAATAAATGATTTGTGTTAACAAATATTAATAGCAAATTACAAAATTTAGTTACTGGCTCGGGAAGTAAAGGAAGGTTTCGAAAAATCAAGGTCCCAACAAAGGCCTTCGAGACTCTCCTACATTAATAGCTTGAATGTAGTGAATACTCTATAAAAGATGATCCACCTACTCATTTTTCTTGGTAGTTAACGATTGGTTGAATCAATCATGAAAACGAAATTATATAAACATTTATTCCAATATATGAATGATTTTTCAATGTAAAAAAAATCGTATGCGTTACAATTTATAACGCCGATCACTTTTGCCAAGCAAAAATTCTTAATCACATTTAGCATCGAAATCAATACAATGTAATAAATTCCGAAATATACATGGCAAAACTAAATACGATTAATTATACGAAAATAGCCACCAGGGCCAGCTTTACAACTCTTCACGGTAAAAAATAAAATAAATTCGAAGGAAAATATACGTCTATCCCTTTATCGATGCAAAAAATATATGGACACATAAATGCCAGATAATACATAATAAAATACAGATAAAAAAATCTATAATTTGTTATTATTTTGAATACGGCGTTTTTTAATTTCATATTCATCACACATTGTAATCCTATCCCTTAATAACCCCACAACTAAACCAATTACTGTTTTAACTCCCTTCCTGATTGATTCAAGATCCTCCTTCAATGCTGTTTTGGATAAATTAATTCGATATTCGCTTTTGCTGGTACAATATAGCCCTTCTGTAGCGAGTTTAATAAAATGCCATTCCGTAGCTAGAAAAATAATAATCAATCGAAGATATGGTAACGCCAGAAAATATATGAGAGATTAACTTTACCATACCTGTAGAAACTATTCCGTAGAGATAATCATCATCATTTTGAAAAGCTTGATCCGCGGTTCGTTTCCTTTTATTCATGTGACTAGCGCTCTCCAGTTGTTTTATATTTTGGAGATACCCAATTTCAACATTGCGTGGTTTTCCCTCAGCTATACATATAAGATCCTCATAGCCTTTGATTGAATAATCAACACGTCCAGAGCTATCTTCGCCGGATACATCATCTTGGTATGCAATATATATTTTTTCATCGTTGATAAGTTTTCGAGTAATTGCTATTGATGCATTTAGGATAGACGTAATAAAAACGCAACGGGTTGCTTCATTGGTACTGTCTTGCATGGTCTCTAAATTAGAAAGTCTTAGTATTATTTCATTTCGAGTGCTTTTTCATCATCACCAATTTCTTTGTAAACTGTAGAAAAATATAAATACGTATTTTAAACACTGATCTGCTACACGATCATCCTCTCATAAATAAATATATATTATTTACCTGGATTGAATTGTTTGATACTTGTAATTTTTTCACCATTTACGGAGAACGTCCTTCAGTTCTTCCAGGGTTTTGTAGGAGGAGAAACCTCTTAATTTTTGCTCTGATATCTCATCAATGAACTTTACGAGTACTGTTGCAGGTCCTCCTTTCATACCATAACTGCGAAACTCTGCTTTAGTTGTTTCAAGAAAGGCGAGACCAGATATTTTTTCATTGCGCAAGATTTTGAAATCATCATTATCCAGTTTCAGATCCCGTCTTTGTAAATAATCAATAAGTTCTTCGGTATCCAGGTTTTTAACTACGTCTGCCATCGTGCGAGTTGACCTTTCTTCCGTCAAAGTAGAGGATGTAGAAACTGGTGAGGAAGGTGTTGAATCGTGAGAAGACATGGTACCGTTTTATATCTAAAAATTCGTAAAATCTGGTTTTATGCACTAAGTTGTAAAGAGTCCGATAATACAGGGAAGAAAGTGAAAAAAAAATTTTTCTGTTTTTGGGAAGATCGGTGCCTTTATATAATCGACTGATTTACGCAGGTCGTAAAGTTGGCTAATTCGTGTAGATCTCGGAGATTGCGGAGATTTCGACTCCCTACGACATAAGTCCTTTGATATACGCACTAATGGAGATTGATGGTCTGCTTCTCCTTATCACCTTTTTGAGATTCATTTTTGCTGGTTCTTATCGTGAAGCATGTTTACTTAATATAGGTGTTTTCTCAAACTATGGTAACGAAAAAAGATTTACGCATGTTTCACGAACTTCTACACCAATCACTAATTTGTAGATTTAAAACACATGACACCGCTCGTGTGGTCTACGTACAAATACTTTTATACTTTTCCTGTAGTATGTAGCCGTGATAAGAAAAACACAGAAGAAGTTTAAAAAGACTATAAGTGGAATGGGCTTATCAGCCTTCACTACTCGTTTTATCAAAATTCATATGTCATAGGACCTTGGGATTCCCAGATCGTCGAGAGCATTACCTTGTAGGAGATCGTCAAAATTAGCACTCATGTGCTAGCATAACTATGGGTTTATTATTAGGGGTAAACATAGAGGGCTAACCGAGAAAATAATGGGTGGAGCCCAGACTCGAAGAGTCATGAAAATGTATTTGGTTTTTGGAATAGATTTGACCCCGTTAATGGAGCTAATGGTTCTGGACGGTATAAAATACTTCGTTTTTTTCTCTTGTAAGCGTGGGTATCAATAACATTTTCTATTGTTAATTCCAAAGTATACCATTATTTAATGTATCGCTATTTAATTAAGATTGTAAAACGTATTTGTATTTACCGTTATTCTATATTTTAGGAAGAAAAAAATGAGTAGCTCTAATGATAACTCCGTCTCCAAGGCCAATGAAAGTAATGTTTCCAAGGTCAACGAAAGCAATGTCTCCAAGGCCAATGAAAGTAATGTTTCCAAGGTCAACGAAAGCAATGTCCCCAAGGCCAACAAAAATATTGTTTCTAAGATTAGTGAAAGTAGCGTTATTAAGTTTACTCAACCCAATGACTCATCATCTAATTCAGGGACTATAGATTTTTCTCGAACTCGTAAGTAAACTTTATGTGTCAAAGACACTATTACCTTGTAATGTCTCTTCGAGTCTAGCTCCGCTATACTGTACAATCGTCAGAGGTGGAAATATTTGACGAATTAAATTTTATTTCAAAATAGGCAAGATAGAAACAATACAAGGCAATTCAAGAACGATTCAAACTGAATCGGAGAGAACAATAACTGATATTAATTCATCGGCAGATAATATTAGTTTATTAAGATTATTAGATAAAAAATGAGTATGAAGAGCATAGAGCCTCTACTCATATTCACATAATGTAACTGTCGTTCGGCAATTTTTTAAAATAAAGAGATTCTGCTATATATGCGGATTTGCACATGAACACGATTCTTTCGAGGTTTTATCGGATCGAGATCATCGGTCTAAATCCGTGGATTCTGAATCAGAGCTGGATGAAATAGTCTCTGCCTCAGATTTTATTCATGGTAGCTTTGCTTTATTTATACAACTTAGTTCATATTCAATAATACGAAGTTTTTCAAAAATTCCATACTCTATATCATTTTCAATAGAATGAACCGACTTCCAAATATTATTGAGGTGTGTTTTGATTGAAAGTTTTCCACATCCATCACCTAAATCTACTTTAGGGTATGTTTTATTCTTGGTAGCTTCGCTATTGTTGAAAACATTATTATCTAATCTTCTGGATATTGGAAGTACATGAGGTTTGTTGCGAAATATTCCATGACGTTTTTTTCAGTGCATATTATCCTTGCTTCTAAGAGATAATTTCTTGAACATATCCACAAGTTCCTCTAGGTTTAGATCAGGTTTTGGCTCCATCGAATTAGATGATTTATTTTTACTAGAGCTGGCTTTGTTAAAATCTTTTTCGATCAGGATACTCATACCATCTATTTCAATTTTAGTATAAAAATCATTTATTTCAGAAGAAAACCCAAAACCTATTTTTGCTTTATACATCTATAACCAATCTTGTCCTAATACCAGATCAAATGGTGGATTTTTACGAATTTGAAAATCTATTACTTCAGTACCATCTAAGCTTCGCCACTTTTCTTTATACTGAAATTGCAAATCTAAGCATTTTATTTCTTCGCCTATCAAATCATCACCAGATAAACATTCCAACCCGTAATCAGAATCAAGCTTATTAAATAAGCGATCACTAATAGTATTGAATTTAGATGTTATATTGATTAACGCTTTAACTGGGATTTTTCCTTCAACAAGAATATCAACGAACATTGGTAAAATAATTATATTATACACTATATCTTTAGCCAAAAAAAATATCTCAGTTCGAATAATTACTCATTCTCCACTACTAAGTAAAATTATTTGTAACCCATGAATGATTAGGAATAATTATGCCAATCTCTCTGATACAATTACTGAACGCAGAAATAAAATCTGTTTCATCTAATAATGTACCAGTAAACATTGGAATAGATAGAGGTAGATCAGAATTGGTCCATTTTTCATCCGAATAATCAGTATATTCGATTTTAATTTTTGGATTAAGTTTTTTCATTACTTCTTTGTTAATCCCTTTACATCCCTCCAAACTAAGATATTCCAAATTAGTACAGTTCATGGCTATTTTCTCAACAGCTTTATTACTAATCGAGCAATTACCAAGCTCAAGATGTTTAAGTTTTGGGCATGAGCGAGCAATTTCAATGATACATCGATCAGTCAGACATTTACATGAATTAAGACTCAGATGTTGTAGTTTTGGAGAAAATCTCGCAATTTCTATAATTGGTATATTAGTGAAACCCTTACTTTTATCAAGAATAAGAGTGCATATATCTGGACACGAGCGTAAAATCGTACTAATCAATGCATCAGAGATTTTTAAACCTTCCAATCTGAGATATAACATCGTTGAACAATAGAGAGGTTTTGTCTTTCCACACATAACTTTTTTTAACTTCAATAAATAGTCTGAGGTTTCTTTCGACCATACGGACCTCTCTGATAATCTTCGTTGAAAAACTCAATGCGACGTCATAGAATAGAAGCACCGCAGTGATACCAAAAGTGGTTGACAAACAAAGCGGGATAGAAAGATCGATCGATTTCTAAAAAATATAAGATCTGTTCTAGCAATTCTGGTAAATCAAAAATATTCAGTTGCGCCATTCTCAAGAATGTATATTATATATCTTTAATCGAAAAAAACAACTAATGTTCGGATAATTAATTTTAGGAGTGATACCGCATCTGAGTCCTTAT